TACAAAATTAAACGGTAATAATTTCTAAGTATCTTCATGACATGATGGGAATAAAACTTTTTATTAATGGCATAATGTCAAAACCGCGCTCTTCTGACTAAAGTTGCAATTTGTGGCTGAATTTATATTGTAGTTAACATATGCATAAAGCAGTTTATTGTGTCATAATACTTGAATGCACGCGTAACAATTATGTTTTAATTATAATCATTATGTTAAAACAGTAATAAATCTCACCATTAAATACAGGTGTTTGCCATTAATAATGTAGTGCGTGCATCGCAGCACTTCACTAAACAACCCTGGATCGAGCAAATTATTCGAATTGATTTCACGATTCAATAATTCAGCGTCATGATGGGATATAATTTAAGAACAAATTGTTTATATCACTGCTCATATATTTGTAATTTATCGGTAATTTTACAGATGGAATAAATTATTATTCTGCACTCATGCGGTATAATAAATAATAATGAATAAGTGTAAAATATAATAATGTATGTGTGTGTATATAGGGAAGGCTGGGTACGGTTGTGCCAGGATAAGGTAGTGAAATTTGTCATAACAGCTAAACTATACTGATTTTGAGATAGGGTCTAGAGGAAGACGGATGATGCATGCTTGTTCGAACAAGTTTCCATTATTACTTTTAGTCAGCGCCCTACATGAACATAATCTATAGGTCGCATTGCTTTTAAAGATTCAATTAACTGTTACTTGTATATAGATAGATCACTTTGTTATTTTGCTAAGTTGAACAGTAGTAGTTATTCACCAGCAATTAGTTTTTGCTTATTGTTAGTTAATTTAGCTCAGTCATAATAATGATTTGTTTTCAAAAGTGTGCGTTAAGTACGGTTGCGACAAATTCTGTGGGTACGGTTGTGACATGTAAATCTTGTCCATTTCGGGTGAAGATTAAACAAATAAAAAAAAATTAACTTAACAAAGAAAAAAGAAAGAAAATTTTACATAGAACTTCGAAAGAGAAAGGACATTTCACATAAAATTTTTGTTAACTTTGTTTAAAAATTATGTTTTATTATATTTCATCCATAAGCTTTCTTCAATGATTATTGTATATGCGTACTTATGGAATTTATTAAAACTATCCTTCGATAACTTAGGTTGTTGGGTTATAACCCTTGTAGCTGTGGACTGTATTAAACACTGATTTATTGGTATATGATGCATTTGTTGCAGTTCTCATTACAATCATTGATTTGTCACTAAGTTATAATTAAAGACGATATATTTATTGATTATTTACTACATATGTTGTTTTGCGGACTTTGCTTTTAGAGGTGAACAATTAGTAAGTCCCATCAAACTTTCCTCTATCAGGGGTGGCAACCACCTCAATGCCATGAAGATTGTCGCCTTGAAATTGTTAACACATCTAATTTAATGGCGATTCGAGTTTGAAGTGCGGTAATTTGTCGAAATATATGAATAATTATCGGATATTTCAGTTTTGATCCGAAAAAAATTAAACTAGAAATTAAATTCATTCTGATAAATAGGTGCTTGTACCAAGCTCTAAATTAACCAGTTAACTGTGATTGACGAGTATGCTCTTCATAACGAAGTGGCAGAATTATGTGCATTTTGCGAGTATATTCATCATGTGTATAAATCAGTGACCGTCGGCTATTTAAATTGCAATAAAAATAACAAAAAATATTTTCAATTACCAAGATATTTAGAATATTTTGGGGCTATACCGGTATAAAACAAATAGTTGTAAGTGACATTTTATCTCGAGTATGACGAAATATATCTGTGTGCAGAGTTCAATGAGCGCATCACAGTTAACTTGAGGATATTGACTCGTATTTTTCTACATTTTTGTTTAAATTTTTGTCGGCCAAATATTATATTGCAAGGAATTTTGTATTTGACGGTTGTCAACTATACTGAACTGCATATATCTTCATTGGTGATGTCGAAAAGCAATATATGAAAAATTTAAGTTAAGATCAGGCCGTACTAATACATATATTTGTTCAAACTTTTAGTTTTTTATAATATAGGTTTAGTTCAGAGAGAACAAAGTTTTAATTCAACTAGTTGTTTTCGTAGAAAATTAATTTATTAATAACTCAAGTTGTTAGCGGTTATTGATTGTGGGGTTGCCTATGAGGAGCCTCTTACAGCTAGCATTTAGGTTTATTATGCTACTCTAGAACGTTCAATACTAATTGCAAGCGATGATGCATCGTTGTCGGTAGCTTTGGTAGAACACGATGAATAAAATTATAAACAGTTGTTAAACGAGAACAAGTTAATAATGGCACAAATTTGATTGAAATGATTAAAATCACTTGGTTTATTTAGGTGCAGTAAAACCAAAGCTATAATTACATAAAGCTTATTCTGGATAGTTTTCAAGTGACTTTAGACATAAACTTGCTTACAGGCACTTCATATATCTATACACATTACGGAAATTTGTCAGAAAATTTTTAACTACTTTCTTTTTTTTAAAAATCTGAACTTTTACTCAGATTGCGTTAATCGTATGTATAATACAAAGTTTTACAAATAAATAAAATGTAACATATCATAAGAAATTAGAAAAAAAATGAGATAGGGCGGGGCACGAATGTCTAATTTTACTTTTAGCTGTTTGTTATATTGTGAAAACCAAACTAATTAAGTCACAAAAAACAACACATATTGAGCTAATTCATCATTGTAGAAATGTGTTATTTGCTGTTTTTTTAAAGTTTGTACTTAGGTCCTTTTTACTTCATAGGCCGTGTATTTATATTAATTTTAAAGAGATTTTACAAAATAATAGCTACATTATTGAAACAATGCAAAATATGAATTTTATGGGTGCACTTTTTACAGAGATAACATTGTAGATAACCTTGATCTGGTATTTTATCAGATATTTATCTCTTGTAGAATAGTTTTGTTTAATTTACTTTACTTTTTTATTAGTTATTTTTGATTTTTTACACCTTAGCCAGAGTGAAGGTTCAGTTCGTTCTTTTTACTTCACCCACGTGTAAGCATTTATAGAAGTTATATAAAAAAAGCTGTTGAAACTAACTTAAAAGTGAACAATTAATCAACGTATATTTAAAAATTGTATTAAGTTCTCAGAAACTAATAATAAGCAACAGTACTCACGACCGCAAAAACAAACGATGAAAGAAATTTGTTATGGATTTTAAAACATTGTCGTATATCTCCTGATAGCAACGTCGTAAGAAACAATAAGGTGATGGCTGGTTATACATATTTTTCACTTCACTCTCAAATATTATTGTTAAAAAATCTTAATACTACTGATTTTTGTGATATTGGTTGTGGTCCTTTTTACCCGCGAATTTCAAAATTTAGAAAATGTAGCAAAATAATCTATATAATATTTATCATTTAAACTATAAATTTACGATACAGATTTATTAAGATTAATGTTATGATATTTTTAGCATTTAAAACCAAAGTTCGAAATCCGTAAAATCAATGGTTTCCGTAAAGTTAGTGTAAAATTCATTCCCACCGGTTTTCTATTGTTACTTCTAAACAAAACACATATCTGCCAATTAAAAAAACATCGCATAAGCTGCGATTTGCATTTATAATATTTATTCATTGAAATATGCAAATAAATTGATTTCTGATTTAAAATTTAGTGTTATGTTTTATGTTATCAAAAAGTATATATTTGAACACCATTTCAATATTTTTGTTAATTATTTCATTTTATTTGCATTTTATCAAAAAACGAATCGCAATAACCGGACACTGTATAATTTCAATAGTTGGAAAACTTTAATTTACACGGGACACTGAAATCGTAATTCAAATTGCGAATTCTCACGTCACACGGTATTTTATCGCTATGACGGAAATTTAATTTAAATCTGCACACAACGCCATAGCCTAATAATTCAATGGATCTATGGATTATAACTCGAATATTATATATCGAGTATGATGAATTCTCTGCGCTCCTGAAGAATATTTACATTAGTAAATCCGAGTTTAATACTCGTAATTTATGGACTTTGCCTTTAATTTATGCGTGTGCGCTGAGGCGTTCCAAGTAGCGCGCCGGCGATTAAGGACGTCATTTGCGAATCTGTCTTTGCATACTGTTGATTATATTTATGTATAAATTAGTACAAATTATGTCAAGTTTATATCAATTTTTATTGCTTCGAATAATTGAGAATGCAAACCATCATTAACTTCATTGTAGGGCAAATTAATCAGGTCGCCTAACAAGCGGATAAAAAATTTTTTGTTTATATTTCATGATGTAATTACAATTTGTGGACCATTTCTGCCACATAACAAACAAATGTTATGGCAAGGCTGTGTTTTGAAGAACTTTTCATACTAATTTGTTCTAAATATTGACACATGTGTTTCTGTGAGCCAGGCGTTTTTTCAGGTTGCCAGATATTAAAACCTAACCTAGAAACCGCACAAATGTCAAAAAACGATCTTAGATAACAGGGTCTTTCTGACTCAGCATCATAACATACGGGTAACATTGCAGTTTATGTGTAAAACGCCTGAATGCACAGCAAATACATGACATTTTGACAGTATTCAGTATGATTCAGTACCATAATGTATGGAATTTGGAGCGTAACATGACCTTGCCATAACGTTGGTCTGTTGTGCGGCAGAATCGGCCCACTAGGCTCGCAAATCTTAACAAAAAAAGCTGAATGCAAAATTTTGATTTAAATTTTATTGAACTTATTTTTTGCTTATTTTACAAATGCAAAAATCATTCCTTTGTTGATTAGTATATGCAATATTTTGAGTCCTACTTATGAAATACATTCTAAACTTCGTAACTTCATTATATATATATATATATATATATATATATATAAATAATTTCATATCGTAGTGTATGGTATTTACGAATTTCAAAGTTTTATGTACCTCATAACGAATTATGTAAAAGCTCTCTTTAATAAGTGCTTTTTTAAATATGTCATGCGATATCATAATTTACTCACCCATTGCGACATTTCGTGTGTATCCGCATTCCGATGGTGATAATTCAATATTAATATCGTCGACACCACAGAGGACGCCACCATGAACATTATGCAATTAAAATACGTTCCTGAAAGGATAATAGCAAAATTAATATGAAGCAAAACGGGTATATTTATACATGCCGCAAGATATCGATGCATAATTTTATAGAATTTCAACATAATGAGTCTATACATTTATTTTATTAAACTTGAAGCTCTTTGCGATACAATATAAAACTGTGATATTAAACTATATAATGTGCCTACAAAATACAATATTGACTCCTTTGCTACGAGTGTTCGCTACGAGCCAGAAAGCCGCCCAAGAATTTGTTACACAGCATATTTTCAGATTTTCCAATGAAATTCAATTATCATCAATGGAAATATATTTGAAAATTGAAAACTAAACTAAAAGAACTAGGAATTATACCAACAAATTAGAATTCTTATTCGATGTAGTCTATAGACAGAAACACAGGTCGCCAAGAAAGATGTCGCCTATAGACGTCGTTCGTAGCGAAGGGGTTAATATCTCTTATTTGAGAAAAATATTTTCGAAGATATTCTATTATTAATGTCGTAACATACATTTAAATATGAAACTTCGGAATTACATAATTGTAATACAGGCTGCAACTTGAGAAATACCTTGCTGACGTAATAATCACTAATATTATATATGGTATATTAGGAGAATTAAATGATACATTTTATTTTTTTCTGTGAGAGTTGCATGGAATTTTTAGATTTTTTTATGCCAAATATCTACTTTTGAGACTCTATTCCACTCTATTTTGACTATATAAATACCATTTTTAATTTTGCTGATTTGATATAAAACTAAATTCGCTGAATTGAGGATTATTGCCTTATTGTCAATATTACAAAAAGAGTTTAATGCTCTATTAGAATTAAACAAATAAAATTAGGCATCATATATTTTATGCAAAATTTGTTATATCTGTTTTTTTTAAATGAAGCCTATGGTAGTCATATTTGTATATAGTATTATATTCCATTATCTATGCTATTTGTTAGAATTTAATAGACAACTTTTTTCATTTTTTTATGAACATTTTCTCAGGCATCAAAGATAGCTTACTTATTATACAATTCTTATTTACCCTTTTTATACACACCTGACACATTCAGGGTGTCTCAGAACTCAACTTAAAGCCGGAATGAGGTAATAGTGTTGATTATAACTATCATACAATAAAATTATGAAAAATATCTCATCTAGTGAAAATTATGAGCTATTAAGTTTTATCAAGAGCAGTGATGCCAAACCTTTTATGAGCCACGCCCCACCTTAAGATTTATAAAGACGTCATGCCCCCTATACAAAATTTTTAACTTAAAAAAAAATTGTTCCTGAAAAAATGTAAATAATAAATTTTAAGAAGCAATCACTATTAGATTGTTATCAAAATATCATAAGTAAAATTTCTAAATAAGTAATGAAAATCGAAATTTCAAATTAATTTTATTACTGGTTTTATGATATTTTTTATTTGATTTTTTGATATTTCGGGCCAACTCGGGAGAAAAAACCTAGCTCAGGCACAAATATTGCATCTAGAATATCCAGGCAAGCAAGGTAGAAAACTACGACCTTACGACCTTGGTTAAATTTCTGAAGCATTTTTTGTTAAATATTCTATACTGCATTACATTCAAATTACCCAAATTTTTAAAGTACCGGTGGAGCGTACGCTCCACGTTGGGAATCACTGATCTAGAGCTTTGGTGAAAATGTGGCTTTTTTTGCTTATCGTGGTAAATTTTTATTAATTTTGATCATTTAAAAAGTGAATAAAATACACGAGAAAATGTAATTTTTTGGTTTTTGTTCTTCTACTCAATTTTTATAATTATGAAAATATCACGTATTTTACTATTTTACAATCCCAAATGAATGCGCTAACTTTTAATAAAACATTACACACAATTTAGTGCATTTTTTAAAAAATAGCTTATAAAAGTTGACCAATTTTGAAAATTTCAAATTTATAGTTCAACAAAAAGTCCTAATTCTTAAAATCTTAGAGCAACTATGTCAATACTTTTGAGTCAAAAGTTTTGACTATAGTGCTAAAAATGTTATTTACTATTATGGATTCAAATCTTGAATAAACAGAATGAACAAAAATTAGTCACAATAACCGAAAAATAGTAACGTTTTCACCAAAGCTCAAAGTTATATTAAAAGCTCATAATTTTCAAACTGCGATAGTTATAACTGATTCGTGTTATGTTCCTATAATACCTTACAAAGTTGTTCATTTATGTAGTTATAATTTGTTGAGAATTGTTTTATTTAAGTGATTAATTCGTTATTGAAATAGTGAACTTATAAATGCGAAGCGCTCATTAGAGCTGCTCCGCTCTGCGCCGATGTAAGGCAAAGCGCGCAGTAATAATTGAATTTATATCGCTGCAATAACTCAACGCGCCTTCACATGGTAATTAATGGTCGCCGGGTATTCGCCGTGGAACTGAACCTGCATAATTGATTTTTACGGAATTTTTAATATTCCACAATACACTAAAATTTAAAACTATTGGAATTTTACAAAAAAAAAAACGAAAAAAATACGACCCGTGAAACTGATTATTCATCGAAATGTTCCACATAAAACAGGAGTTTACTGTTATGTAGATTTAGTTTCGTGTTTGAATTTGTATTTTAAACTATGTTTTGGTTTTCATTATATAGATGAGCTTTAAAATGTAGCAAGTAATTTTATACAAAACGAAAAGTTGCAGTTGAACACGGAATTTCATGTACGTGGTGCGGTTTACCTACCATATACATCAAAACGGTAAAAGGTACACATTAATTTTGATTCGTTGTATTAAAAATACTCACTTCTATCTTAACTTCTCAGCTTGTACGCAATTGTAAAAATAAGGTAGTTAACCCAAGAAAAACTTATTACTTATTTAAGGCATTAGATATAGCTATATTAGATATGTTGGTCAACATATTGTTCATAGTCTTAATCTTTGCACTGATTAATTCTAAGTTGCCAAACAAATTTTATTGTCGATAGTTTTTAAATTTCATTTTTGTATTACTGCTTTTGTCTATCTAAAGGCCAATGTGTTTTTTCGTAATTCATGTGGTAAGAATTTTCACACTTTATCATAAAAATGCTATTGTATTAGAGCTTTATAATTTTATTTACTATATTTCTTGCGTGCCTACTTAATATTATAGAAGTTGATTACTAAACTTATAACATTGCATTCAAACTGATTGTTTGAATCGCAAAGTATGGTAATACATAAAAAATTAGCAACTGCCAGTACATAACTTTCATATATGTGTCTATGAATTAATCATGTAAGTAGTATGATTTTTAACTTCTAAAATTCCATGTGTGAATAATATAATTAATGCTATTAGTATTCTAATTTTATTGCTGGCCCTTCATAAAAATTGTATTTTCTCAAAACTATGAGAGGAATCATCATTTATAATTCTCCAATTATCGTTTTATCCAATTATCCTATAATTCTCCAAGAGCCGAATTATCGTTTTACATAAAAAACTAAGTAACAAAAAATTCTGTAGAAACAAAGTTATTGGTATTATAATTTCAAGTCACAGCGGCCTATAATGTTTGCACTTCTGTATATGAAAATGGTATTTCAGGTTAAAAAGCCTAGCAAAAGTCACAAATATTGATATTAGTTGTTCTATACAACGTTATAAAAATAAAATTTATGTGTCATCTCACAAAAAAAGTTATAATTATTTGGTAAATTTTAGAAATATTTAGAATGTGACTTGAAAGTTACTAAGGCCTATAGAGGGTTGATATTGGCAAGCAAAAAGATCTGGCATCAAAACTTATATTTGAATTTTTTTGAACTACAAAGAAGTGATTTTTCATATTGATATTTAATAAAATTTAAATAAAAAGCATAGATATAATAACATCAATAGGTATAAATTAGGTTATCATTATTCTATAATAAAAAGAAATTGATACCTTATATATAAATATATAATATTATATATGCAATACGTATCTTTTATTTGATAAACATATTCTTACGCTAAAAAAAATAGTGTACTGACCCGTTTATATTTGTATGCGGTTATATTGATGATAATGCGAAAGCGCCGATGCGAAAAAATAGACATTTTTTATAAAAGTATACTTTCCCCCTACGGAACAAAATCATATATGTTATCACTTCATAATAACTTCTTTACGATCTAACATATTAAATAAATCAAGTTCGAGCTCAACAAATATAAGATTCAATTTTGATTGCATTCTATCAATATGATTTGGAAACAAGTATTTTAAAGTACAGCAGTCAACATGCGAACGATAAATTATATGCCGTGAAAGTTTCCATTACGAGTCTCTCGCCGATTGAAATCTCTAGAGCGGAATTGTTGAAGAACTATCGCTGTCGAACTAATTCTTAAACTTCTTAATCCCCATTGGATTCCCTTGGAGTACCGTAGAGCGACACTCTATGATAAATTTCTCCAGATATCTTGAAAAAGTTTAGGGCAAGATTTGCTTTACGAAGAAATAATTATCGTCGAAAATAAAATAGGCGGTAATCAGTTGACAAGTGCTTACCCTCGACTTAAATTTATAATTAATACGACAAATTTTTGTGTACGAAATTGTATTACCGTGACCGTGTTGTACATTTATTATTTAAAATTACCGTGACCGTAATTATAAATTTATTATTGGAAATGAAATCTTTTTTAATGAAAAGGGGTGGTATAAAAAAAGGTACTTTAAATTTTGCCTGTAAATACATATTTACAGGCAATATATAGGGGAGCTGAGGGTTATCTGTAATAGGGCTGAGTAACAGATGTTTTTCAATAGGATCTTAAAAGATATTAATTTTTTTTTGGTTCCATTGATTTACCGTCTTGCATGATATTGACATAGCTATAAACAGAACTGTGTAGGACCGTCATTTTTTAAAGGGAGTAGGGAATATAAAATACATCCATCATAAAATTTTGATTTGCGTTATTATTATCGACTAATATTAAATTTTATATAACTTATTTTGTTTCAAATTTATTAATTTTTGATCATGTATAACAATTATTATGATTGCTAATTTGTATAAATATTAATATTCTATTAATGTAAAAAAATTACACCTGGGGTTAGTTGTAACATACAACAATCATCTACATTTTCAAGCGAAGACAATTGGATGGAATGTATAGTTTGTAAGATGTGGGCACATGTAAATTGTGTTACAGGGGATTCTATAACTTTTGTTTATAAAATATATAATATATTACAGGAGACATTATATATTTTGAAGGAAAGAATTACTTACGAACTAATCAATCAATTAGTTGTCAATTTTCTAAAATCTAAAATGAGTACAGTATGAATTATCAGAGGCATTATTGCCGTTTTTGCTACTTGCTCGAGTAGATGTTACAACTAGCGACAAACACGGGGTAAGTTGTAACACTGCACTTTTTCTAAAAACTAATTATTTGTGAAATAATTAACGACAGCCTTGGAAGTATTTTTACTTCATTCGGTAGAGGAATAGTTACAGCAACTATCCATATTTATTTAGTATTATAGAAATATATAATCAGTGAATCTCAAGATATATTGAATAAAGAACTGTTACAATAAGCCCCTAGATCGTGATAGTAATTATATTTTCAAAACTTCAAGTCCAAGTTTTGCAAGAATTTTTATTACTCCCATTTATGATCAGTTAAATAATTTGTTACGTTTACGAAATTTGCTTTAAATTTATCTAATACACGAATAAATTTAGAATATCTAAATATCAATTACGGACATAGTAATGTAAATTGTTTGAGATATCTAAAATTTGGCAATCGTTTGATGTAACCAGCGATTGCAAACCATCATTTTCACTACCGCATAATTACTGTTAATTGAGTAGGTATCAATTCGCCAGGATTCCGCGAGGTCTGCAATTTAGTATGGAATTCATGAAATCAAAGTTAATTACCGTGATTACTACAGTTAAATTATAAATATAGCACTCGACACAATATTGTGATCACTTATCTCTTCATGTATTACTTTAAATTTATTCTTTGCTCATTTATGAGAAAAAAAATTTACTTATTTTTAAGTAATGTTTTTCATTACTTACTCCAAACTATAACTAATACAAATAGATTATATGATGTTTTCTGTAATAATTTTTTTTATCATGAATCAACGTAAACTACAATTAATGTCACAATACAAATAAAAGATATAGTGTCTCCTGTATCACAATTTACATGTGCTCACACCTTACAATATATTCTATTCAATCTTCTTCACTCAAATCTGTAAATAATTTTTGTATAAATGGAATTTTTTGCTTTAATCAAGATAACTATTTATACCGTTTATGGGGCGTCTATTAATCGTGAAGTTTTTAGGGGGAGGGAGTTTGACGAAAAATCACGAAATATCACGTGGGGGAGGGAGGAGTATATTAAGATATAATGTATTTATTTTTTACCTAATTTTTTTGAAAAAAAAAAATCAAACATATTCAATTAAAATTGAAATTAAAAAAAAAATTTACGTCATGTTTGGTGGGGGGGGGTAATTTTGAATATCACCACGTATCACCAAAGGGATGGGGAGTCCAAAAATCCTTTAAAAAAATCGATAACGTAATTATTGAACGCCCCCTTAGCAATCACAAAAATTGGTACACATTATTTAAGATCGATAAATTTTAAGCAAATTGAGATATATAAAAAGCTTTACGCCTCGTAAAGCAAAGCTCTTGTAAAGATTACATCACATGCAATATTTAATGAAAAAGCTTCATTAATGACCAACTAAGTATAAGTCATTCTTAATGTGATATTGCATTCTCATGCAGAAGTGCATTATCACGAAATGTTTAAGAGATTGTGTACAAAAATATAAACTCAGTTAAGTGATTCTAGAAAGCCGTAATTTTATCAGATTGTAGACTGGCACAAAAGCTGAGAGAAAAAAAAAATTAAATTTGTATTAGATGTCTAAAAAGTCGGACCTGCACAGTTTTGTTTGTTGCGTTGGCTTGTGGGACAGTGCTATAACAATATTATGCAGGACGATTTACATGAGACGAAAGCATATTTTAATATAGTTTCAGATCTTATTGAAAAACGCCTGTTACTAGTTACCTCTACTACAGATAGCTTCTAGTTCTCCTAACTGGCTGTAACTTAATTTCAATATTGTTCTTTCCATTTACATCATATTTCCATTTGTAAGTAATACCATTAACACATAATCTTTATAATATGTTAAACCAATTTCAACTTATTCAAGTATCGTACTTCGGAATTCATTACTAGTTTCATACGTTCTAAACGAAGGAAATATATCATTTATTACAACTATACGACGTATCGTATATACAAAACTGATCAAAAACCGAGGCAATGATATATTCTCACATCATAAATAGAATATTTACCCAATAGAGGTACGGCGTCAGACGTGGCAGGCATTGTCTCAGCGACCATGTTCAAAAACACTGTCAGCGATAAGAGAATGGTGACACCTGAAATAAAACAAATGCTCGTATAGCGATGTGAAACTAGAAATGCGAAACGAGAAACATACAATATGTGTATATCATGTGCATCCGCCGTCACCGCAAACGGTTTTCACTGCGGTGCAATGTGCGATGGATATAATGTAATATATACTTGTGCCGTATTACCAAGATGATTACTTGTTCTCTTACATATTTTGGCATCGCATATACACACGCACACACACACACACACACATATATATATATATATATATATATAAATTAAACGTTTCGACACTTGATGTGTGTCATCATTCAGTAATCTAGAAAACATAACATAAATACACAGTTGATGATAAATATAAATATATAAAAGGAGGAAATTATACATACCAAACCAGGAAAAACAACAGAAAAAATTATGATGTAAAATTGATAAGAACACTAAATTTGTGTAAAATAATAATATACTATTATATTAACAAACGAGGAACAGAAGGAGCACATATTGCCCTCCTATATTTAATGTTATTGATAGCATTGCATTGTGGACACTGATCAAGGTTACAACGCAGTGTAGTCCGCACGTGTAATGAAGGAGTGGGAGAGAGTTGTGAGAAACGAAAGGAGAAAGAAAAACAGAGAAGAAATATAACGAACGAAAGACTCTAAAACTGTATTGAATTACTTTTCATGAAATTAATGATGACTTTGTAACTGTCATGTAAGAGATGAGAGGAATTACGTTTGGTTATACAAGAAGTATTAAGGGATTTTTTTTTAATTCGACGGTTGGGCTGCAAAAATATCACAAATATGTATCAACGTCGACAAAATTATCATCATATGCCGACTGTGGACGTTGCATTGGCACTATGTTGGATTTGCCCGCATAGCCCCACAATTGTATGCCATAAGTCCAGATTGGTTTAATTACTACTTTGTAAATTAGAATTGTCAAAAATGTCGACAAAATCATGAAGTGCAATCGTTATATAAGTCCATTTCGATAGCCCAAAACCTAAAGAAATCATAAAAAAATATTTGGCACCATTCAAATAAGGCTGGATACTAAAAGAAGCTCGACTTATAAGTGCCACACGAAAACCTCCTGGACCGAATTTTTATCAGCTGCCGGATAGCAAGAAAATCGCAGAATTTTTGAAGCGGTTAGTGACTGCAACTGGTGATGAAAAGTAGATAACTTAACACAACGTGACGCGAAAACTGTCCTGATCGAATCGCGATGAGTTGACAGAAATTGTGGCAAAGCCAGGATTGTGATTTTATGGGATTGGCAGAGCATTATCAACTGTAAGCTGATCTTCTATGGTAAAATTGTTAAACCTTAACTGTGCGGTCAATAATTGAACCGTCTGAAAGAATCAATCGTTCAGAAGTTGCCAGCTTTGGCCATTACGAGAAATGTTCTATCAGGACAACGCCAGGCCACATGCATCGATACGGACTGTCCATAGAACTTAATTGAGAGGTTTTTATGCATCGATTTTATATTTATCTTATAGCACCGAACGATTACCATCTGTTCTTGTCCATGGTGAACAGTTTTGCTGATGAAAAATTCACTTTGAGATAGGTTTGTAAAAATCGACTGTTTTAATTTTTTGCCAATTGGGACCAGGGTTTTCATGAGAGAGGCATAGTGAAAATGGCAGTAATAAAATCGAAAATCGAACTATCGAATGAAACTAAATCGAAATTTGAAATCTCCACGGTGATTGTATTTGAAAATGAAAGTACTGTTATATTCACGTTAGGTTTATTTAATGCTATTTTACAAATATGTCCTTCTTCTCTGCATGTTAGTACTAGACTGACTCTCGTAGGGTGAGGTATAGTAATGAGCCAAAAATCGTAAATAAAAATTTTGCATATTTTAACGCTTCAAAGGTTTCTGAACATTTAGGCAAACCTGAGAAAACATGGACATGTGTGTTTGTGTGGATACCATTTTTCGTCGACCATTTCGGGCATACTGATAAACCGATTTGAATGGTTCACAAAATATTAGATTCTTATTGATAAGGAGAGGTGCTGATCGGCTACTAGTTTTTCATGTTATTTGCACAAATCTTGAAAAGAATTCATAGTTTAACCCTTTCCGCTCGTATGCCACCGAAATATAAATCTCGCAATTCGCGAGTGGAAAGAGTTAAACTTAAGAATACATAACTGTGTAGTTTCTATTAGTCGGTATATATATATATATATATATATATATATATATATATATATAATAGGTACATAGCCAGTTGTTTCAGTTGGCAAACTTGAAACTTGGATACTTTACAAACATAGTAGAAGCACTCTAATACGCTCTTTGAAACGTACGACCTATTCATTGGTTGTTACCCCATTGATTCAACTTTATGATATTATGAGCTATTGATGCGTATTGCTAACGCATTATGGCGGAGGCAGCGCCACGCCACGGCATCCGCCGCCGACCGCAAATTAATGTAGGAATGTAAATTGTAACGATCGTTATGCGACGTATAGACAAACAGGAGCTTTGAGCTTTGAGCTTTCCAGTTTACGGACCGCACCGGAGTTACCACCAAATATCGCAGCAGTTCTATATTGTTTACATATTGTCTACCTGTACGAAAAGGGGATTCCATTCTAGAGCATGAACGTAAGTTTGTACGAGTATATTTATTGCGAAATTCACATTGAGTACTTTGTGTACTAATAAGTGAGACACTATTAATAATGCAAAAATATGTTTGCCATTATTAAATAGTATTAGATTAGGGCTTTCTACGTCAGAAAGTAGCGGAGAAATTATAACAAAGTGCCTACTTAAAAGAACATTTTGTATTTTCGTAAGTTGCGCTTAGGGGGCGTCCACTAATCACATGAGGTTTTTAGGGGGAAGGGGGGTTTGACAAAAATCATGAAATATCACGTGGAGGAGAGAGTGGTATAGTAAGATATCATGTATTTATTTTTTAACTGATTTCTTTAAAAAATCAAACATTTTCGAAAAAACTAAACAAATTACGGTTTTATCACGCATCTAAAAATACACGTGATGTTTGGTGGGTGAGGGGGGGGGGGTAATTTTGAATATCACCATGTATCACCAAGGGAGTGAGAGGGGTCCAAAAATCCTTAAAAACTCGCTCATGTGATTAATGGACGCCCCCTTATGATAACGCTGTTATTGGACTTCTGTACTTTTTATAGGTAAGGTTTCATATGTAAAACACCTGTTTGCACAGCAAATACATTACTTTATGACAGTTTGTCTAACAATTTATATTAATGACCCATAATATACCACTACAACAATATTAGTACCTACCTATTAATATACAATAATATTAGTATTAGTAATAGTAGTATTAGTATATCAGTATAGAATATACTGGAATTATCTCCTAAATATGTGAATAAATACTTCTGTGGACCTAATATTTGTCGATAACTCTTTGGTTATCTATGAGTTAATGCTTACAGGAAAGAAAAGAATATAAAACTAGTGGTGCCATGGTATCGTGCCTAAAGGCTGGAACTTCTAATACCATAATTAAATTTTTTTATAAACTTTACAATTTTTTAAAAACTTTGAAAAAGTTTGATTTTTGAAAATTTTGAAATTTTTGAAACAGTTGAATTTTTTCACATTTAGAATTTTTCCAAATTTTGAATTTTTTCAAAGAAATCGCACTGCATAGCAGTTTTGGAGACGAAATAACATTATAAATCTTGGTGCGGAGTTCAAACAAATGCAAAAATGTGTACTTATTATGAAAATCTTTATAAAATATCTGATAATTTAATGTGCATATATCTAGTGATTATTTTTAACCGCTAAATGGTTTCATTGTATTTCCGAAACCGCTAGACCTACCTTAGCAGTTGTTCATTTTGTCTATACATGTAACATGTTTTGAATAATTCAAATCGGACATTGAATTGCCATTTTCTGCACTTTTTCCTCTTTATCTTAAAACTGGCCAGACTTGCCTTTTCCAAAAATTAATCAGCACATTTCGTCGTCAATAGAAATCGAATGTTTTTTAAATCATTCAAATCGATTAATCCGTGCTCTCGAAATTGTCGGAAAAAGATTATATCCGCACATACATACATACATATATATATACTTACATACTCAATATACATCCATTTTTTTCTTAAGTGTGCCAAAATGTTCAGAAAACTTTGATAAGTAATGATACGCAAACAAATCTCGATTTTTTGCGATTACTATAACCTATGAAAAGTTAATTAAAATCATGCAAGGTTGATTAAAATAATTAAAGTGCGTTAATGACTATCGGCAAAAAATACGCTTATTACATGATACAATCTAATATTCATGAACTATAATCGTTAACTACCTGGACCGCATTAAATGTACGTTAGTAATAAAAATCAGTTTGTACTTACCCAGGGATAGTTTTTCGCCGGAGTCTGGGGGCAGTGTAAAGCCCAAGAGTGCCATCGATGCGATCAGTACACACGGTACGATCAGATTGAAGAAATAATAAAGCGTCTTCCTCCGTATCAGAATCGCGAACGTAATGTCTATGTACGGCTCGGGACAGCAGTTGTAGTAAATCTCGTTGCGTTTGCCAGGCACCCCTGTTGGCGGAAACATATAAAAATCTTTAACAAGTGTTATTTGCTTTTTGCTTAAAATATTAACCTAAATGTGGACTGTTAAGTATCTCAAGTAATTCACATATATTTCGGGGGTAGCCGAATATTCAACAACAAGGGTGAAATGTACGCTTCACATACTCGTTGGAATTTCGTTTGATGTTTTGCACATTCTGAAATTGTAATTTTCAATCTGCGTATGCTTTGTTTTTTTTGTTTTCAGTTTATTTATTCATTTAATATTTATGTTTTTATTAACTTTTTTAAGGGGCTTATTGAAATCGACAACAGTGGAAAATGTTTTCTTTAATATCTTTACGTTTCTATATTTTTAGTCCATTTTGATATAACGGAAAAAATATTCATATTTTGTGTTTTAGCACTTCAAAATTTTACATGATTATTTTTTTCGTCTTTCAAGATACCTCAAAATAGAAATATCTAGTACCAAGTAAAAAAATCAATAACTTTATTAAATGTTTAATAAGGTTTTTATTGTGCATTATCACAATATATTTAAACAACGTTTTTGTTACCGAGTAATTTTATCGTTCTTGCCTGTTTATTTGCATATTTTGTGCTGTTTTATATATAATTGGATCTTCTTTACATAGAAGATCAAAATCAATTTTACAACTAGTCGGTATTGGTATTTTGCCTTGATGCAAGTTACATGAGCTTTCCGATATATGTAAATAATTGACTTAATCAATAGAATATAAATTAATTTGAGTGATTAAAAGTATTTTGGAGTGGATTTATCACACATCGTTGACATCGAACGAACACTCTATCGATATACCATAAAATCGTCTAATTTTAATTTTAACATGTTTCAAACATACTAAACATTTTCTCAAACTTTGATGAATTTTTAAGATAAAACTACTTGTCGTAAAGCCGTAATATATTTCAGTAAGTTCTATAAGACCATGATATATATCGCCAAAAAAGTTCCATAAAAATAGGCTTAAATTTTTTCGAACCTTTTTTGAATTTTCAAAATCGATTCAGAATTGCGGGCTAAAACGTGGACGAAAATTTTTCTACTTTTCTGCTATTTACAAAGAATTTTTGGTTTATCGTGGCGTAAAATTGATAAGCGCTAGTCCTCATCGAGATACATCGAATGGCTTTTAAATTTTTGAAATCGGTCCAGTCGTTTTTGAGAAAACGTTGATTTACGGCAAAAATCTGTTCACATACATACACACACATACATACTTCTTCCAAATTTGGTCTCATTCGATTCAGAATGGCTTGAAACTGAACTTCATAAAAAATCCGAGCGAATCGGATTTTTTTATGAAAATATAAACTTCTACTTTGGAGAGTTAATAATGATCAATATAAGAAAATTATTAATTAAAAATATGTTTATTCAATACATAAGAATATTTATAACAAAATGTTGGTTTTGAAGTTATATTATCGAGTTCGTGATTTGTGTTTGAGATGAGTGAAACTCATATGATTATTTTCATACGACAATGTTTTGTGGAAAATATTTTCGTAAGACTTGAAGTTGTAAGTTCGTTATTTTTATTAGCTTCTTTTAAAATAGTAAGTCGTAAGTTATGCAGTTTGAGCCTTATCAACACGCAAATCAAAGACTCAAATTTGGGAATAAAGTCTGGATGAATATCATATGACTTCACTTTTTAAATTCTATATTTGATATATGTTCATAATATTGGATATTAGAATAGAATAACAATTTCGGTTTTGGCATTGTAAGGAATGCCACTGTCATATCTAAAGCTTTATTCAAAAACGGATGGATTGATTTAAAAAATCATATAGCCATTTTATGTAACGCAATAAAGTCTATAGTTTATCAGTTTAATGATAGATTCGGTCAAGCCTAAAAGGAGCAGAAATTGCAATTAGCAGAAAAATCTATAATTTTTCGTCCACATTTTAGCCCATCTTGGATCGATTTTATCGTTTTGATTAGTTTTTGGTAAATATTGGACGGACCGGTTCTTCGTAATTAAATGATAAAAAATATTTTTTTAACAATTTTGATGAATTTCTCAGTCTTGTATGACTTACTGAAACCTTTTAGGCCTAATATTAGCGGTTGAATTATAAAAATAAGTTGAAATTGCGCCGCGTGTTTGAGCGAATCTTATCAGAATCTATGCCGTCCATACGTACATTCCGTGTTTCGTAGGTAGTTACTGATTACAGCTGACGTCCACACTTGAATAAAATACATTTTTCGAATACGAAAAAAGATTTAGCATAGTCTGTTCTTAAGCATTACAGAAGGTAATTAAATAAGCATAATTTAATACGATATGAATAATAATGCAATTAATTTTAGTTCTATCAATTTTGTGTGATGAGTTGATTTCATTGCCATGCGACCCACTATTTTCGAGATTCGTGCGCAGTGATAAATTTCCCTTGATATTGAAATATTTCAATATTTGACAACGTGAATTATTAATCCATATAACTTCACACGTTCCAAATACCTCTCGCATGATCATTTACAGGTATTACCGTAACAGTATGTTTGGCATCTATGACGCTATTCGGTATGAATAACTTACAGAACCAATATCGGATACGGCCGACATTTCGCATAGTTCGACCGGAAACTGTTGGCACCTTATCAATACACTTTCGGCACCGCATAGGCTTGATGACAATTACAAATCTCCTGGGTGTTGCGATTCGTGTCCGGCAAACGGAATCAACGGTGCTCTATTCGATCCAGAACAAATAAATATTCAAGCAGTCGCATCGGTGCCAATATTTGATATATATATATATATATATATATATATATATATATATATATATATCTCACTAATAGTGTTAAGTCTGGGACATAGCATTGTACGGATCAGAGACATGGACTTTAAGAAAGGCCTGAGGACAAAACCTACCTAAAAAGTGGTGCCGAAGGCGAATAGTGAACATCAAGTGGACATATAAGGTAGCAAATAAAGAAGTGCTGAGAAGAGTGGACCAAGAAAGAACTGCACTGACCAGGACCATGAAAATGAAAGAAAACTGATTAGAGCGATTTTGCATAAAGAGTGTCTCCTTCATGACGTTGTTGAGGGTAAAATAGGACTAGATAAATTGGGAAGAAAAATGCAGGTGATTGATGATTACGGAGAAGAAAAAATACAGGGAACTGAAAACCGAAGCACAGGACGGTAAAGTATGGAAGCAGAAGTTTTGTAAGAAAAATGGATAAAAGTGAATAGAAAAGTCATCAATGGTAAAACAAATGGTAATGGAATACCAAGGGAGTGAAAGAGAATTATTGATTTGTGGTCATCTACCATCATAGAAGCATTCACCACTCGACAGAGTAGCCAATGCTCAGTTCCAGCCATAGTTTAGGTTATAAGATTATTATTTCAATATTTTGTAATTTTATTTTGTTAATATTTTGTTTATTGTATGATTTACATTTATATTTTTGTATTCAGGTTTAATTTTTTGTTTTTTTTTTGAAACCTCAATAATTTTGTATTATAAAACTTTGGTAAAGTTTTGATTGACAAAAAAAAATGATTTGTGGTGCCTTTGCATCATGGACCTGTCTTAGGACAAACCACCATTTATTATTATTATTATTATATTATGTTAATTTTTTACGTTTTGCAATTGCAATTGAAGAGTTAGCTTTGAGTTACAAATAATATACAACATATGAAGAGTAACTATTCTTAGCAACGACTATTAGATTTGAATCATATTGTAGATAAATAAGTTCTAAATAATGGACCTGCTCTCTATAGACAAGCATTGATGCAAAGACACTCTCAAATTACGGCTAAGTTTAAAAGAATTGAAAACCAACTTGAAAATAAATTAATGCAGGTAGAAAGATACACGATCCTTATCTGAAAACGAGTAGTGTATGGTATTGTTAACGATCCTATTACTACTTACTAAGTACTATGAAAAAGATGAGCAATGGCCTTAAATCTAAACCCAAAAATAAGGGTTACAATTTGAAAAATTCTATTTTGACCCATTTAGAGTGCCCCAATCGCGTCTAGATGTATGACCGACCTTCTCTAACTTTGGAAGACCGATACACACCCTGGAACCCATTTTCCAAATTTAACTCTTGACCCAAAGGTAGAGACCCAAAAAGCACATACTAACATTCGTTTTAGAGTTTTAGATCTTATTTTGATCCCTAGAATCCGAAAATCACATGTGCCTAAATGACCTTTAAATCGACTCGCCCTACTATATATATATATATATATATATATATATATATATATATATATATATATATATATATATATTAATTTGGAAATATGAACACTCCTTTTTGCACTAACTTATTAAATAATAATTCTCACAAACGTTTCGAGACTAGATTTGTCTCATCATCAGTGTGTTATAATTTAAAATTTAAAATATAATTAATTTATAAATAATTTAGCATTATGTGTTATCCGTTACAAGTCGTTCGATATACTGTCTTCTGCCCCACCAACGATCGGCGGTGTCCGAATTCTCTATTCAGTTTTAAGTGGCTAAGTGAAAATTATTATTTAATAAATTAGTGCAAAAAAGAGTGTTTGTTCATATTTCCAAATTAATATCTATTTATCCACTCAGAATACCTATATATATATATATATATATATATATATATATATATATTCCGACCTGGATATTTAATTTCTTCTCTATTGATTCTGTTAAAAGATCTTAATCTGTCTGCCGTCATGGTGTATTATGGAACGAGATTTGGTTTTTCAGTCCTGCAAAGAAACCGTCGGTCGGTGTCAGCATTAATTCCTTCTGCAGGATATTCTAGTCGTCTAATTGAATGAGCAGCCGGCGGAGGAGTGTGTGCCTAAGTCATTCCTCGCATCCGGCTCAGAAGAGTTCTTCGTCCGAGTACAAAATTACTCCCGAGCAGTCGTCAGGGCGATTTACTGTGCGCTGATTGTTATTTATTTGAAACGGCGAGAAGAGTATGTAATTGAATGGAATAGTACCGACGCTCTTCGTACATATATTAGAAACAGGATTGTACTTTATTCGGTCTTTTATTTTATATCGTAAATTATGGTGATGTGTTAACGTTTATCCCGAGCATGGTTACCGCTTGAAGTAACGGTTTCTGGGGTATTTTAGACAGCGAATAAAAGAGCTACAGAACGATATGCATTATTAATGGCACGGACTCTGTTACAGGTATACATAGTGATTGTGTTAACATAGTATATTAAATAGCTATGGTTTGTTCGGAAAGTTACTGCAATTTGAATTAAAGGGGTTGTTTGGTTTTTATTTTTTTCGAATTTGAGATTTTTTGATGTTATGAAAGCTAAAAACCTTAGAATTATTTAAAAAAAAATCATCTCAATATCTATTTTTTGACGAAATTATAGATATATATATATATATATATATATATATATATATATATATATCTTTATGAATGATCCTCTGAAACCGTTTTTTTTATCGCTCCACGAGCTATTGTATGCCAGCTGCTCTCTTTTTCATTATAATACCTCATGCACATGACCTTTTTAATGTGTCAGCATCTTTGAACACCATGGTGTATTTAGTACATTAAATTAAATGGTGTATTTAGTACATTATATTAAAAACTTTAAATACGTTTTTCTCAAAATGACTTTTCAATGCGGTGCCACAAATTTTAAAAAAACTACAAGTCGGATGAACTTGCATTTTTTTTTATTTGTTCACCACTGCAATACCTAGTTCCCCTACCTCAAACAACTTCATAACATTACGCGAAAATTTTTTGCGAAGCTTCTCGTCTCAAAAAAGGCTCTTTTTAACACTTTTTTTTAAATAGCTGCCATTTTTTTCTTCTTGCTTTTTTTCTTTTATTTTAATAGGGGGACTGGATTCAAACTTCTTCTTCAACGTAGTTTTTTTTTGTTTCAGGCGACGCGCAACGGATTTATCTGTGGCACCGCAAAAGAGATCGATTTTGCAATGCCCACTTTGGCGCTCCTGGTTAAAAAATGACGGCGAAAAAAAAATAATATTCTATGATTTTGTAATTTTTGTTTAAAAAAACCGCATGTCTCTATGATAAATGCATTTCGAGAAAAACAAAAACAAATACGAAGTTTTTGTAACAAAAAAACGAACAACCTCCTTAACTATTTGAGTAATTTAATTTTCAATGCATGACTTTAGGGTTACATTATCGGATTAAATTGTTCAAATTAGTTTTGAATGTTAGAAGCAATTCTTATACGTTGATCGCTGCCCTGAATCCTTACGATAATACTTAAAGCTTAAAGGTCCGCGGGTAAAAAGCCCACAACCGGTATATCAAAAACAAGTGTAATTTTAAAAACAGTAGAATGCAAACTTTAAATAACCAACCATCAACTTTATTCTTACTATTTCACTATTGGGAGGTAAATGGTAATATTTAAAATATCATAACAGAAGTACTTTTTTTCATTGTTATTTTTTTGGTTGTGAGCACTGTGGCTTACACGGGAGTGGGGTAAAAACTATATATTTTATTTGTATTATGATATTAATTGTATTTCACGTTAATTTATGATAAAAATTTATATTACAGGAGGCATTCTATATTGCACTACTTGCCTTGGTGGACGTTAAACTAGCCCCAAACATGAGGTAAGTCGAAACAACGCACTTTTTCTAAAAATTAATTGTGAAATAATGAACAACGTTTGTGAATATATTTTTACTTGATTCGGTAGAGGAATAGTTATCTACAATATTTATCCATCTTTATTTTGTAGAAATATAATCAGTGGTTCTTAAGATATGAATTAAAAAAAAAAAACTGTTACAACCAGCCCTAAGCTATTCTTCTACCAGCCCTTAGCTATTTCATTACGTTACTTTATTAATATAGAAGTCATTGTAAGAATAAAGATATATTGATGATATACAATTACTTGTAGATTTCAATACATTATGTATACAAAACCGTGTATAAAATCAAACTTGAATTACATTTGAAATCACATTTGTTTAATCATAATATTATATCTCTTTCTATTCATGATTTATACATTATTAGCCTTCTATTGAATGCGATATAAATCTATCACATTGTCGAGAATTTATATTCCCTGAAACAGATAATTGCTCGATTTCTTTAATAAAAATGGTTGAGCTGAAATTATTACTTTGCTTTCAAAGCGAGCGCTTTTCATATGACGTCGTTTGCAAACCCAATCTTGTGCAATGATTAAAATGTCGCACATTGAAATATGTTCTCTCAAACTAGGTTCCGGTAGAACGCCAGAATTTGTTGACCCGTTTTATTCAGTGGCAGAGGAAATAAAAACCAACATCCGAAATTTTATTTAGTAATTAGCGATTCGGTTCACCGAGTCGGACGACCGCAAATTAAAACGAGAGAGGAAATCATTAATTAAGTCGAGCATGCTTTGATTGCATGCAGATTACTTCGGAGTTTGAATCACGAAATGGATATTCTTTGCTTTGATTTTGAATCTTTCTATATAAATTGAAATATTTCGCTTTTCGTTTTCGTTTTCGAGATTAAATATAAACAGAAACATCTTTAATGTTTATTTGTTGCAGTGAATTTAATTACTGAACTAAACTGATTTTGAATACAAATAGCTACACGAAGATGAAACGTTTCTATCCAGTTCTTATATCACTGTTAGTGCACATTTTCTGATATTTTTTATTTTATAAAAAAAAGTAAAAACTAGTGTTGCATGGCATCGTGCTTTGATAAAAATAGATGGAGCAGATTATTTAAAAAAGCTTAGAAATATTTTGAAAATTTTGAAAAATTTAGATGTTTGGAAAAAATCGACTTTTTTGAAAAATTTAAATTTTGGTTTATATTTTGATATTTTTTTTTTCCAAAGCAATCGCGCTGCGTAGCTGTTTTAGAGACAAAATATCAAAGCGTGTTTGAAGATATCATATAAACATTGGTACGGAACCCACAGAATGTGAACAAAATTTGTACTTAATATTAAAATATCTGATAATTTGATCGGTTTATGTCTAATCATTTTTTTTGACCGCTAAATGACATTTTTTTACTTTTCTTATTGGATCTCCGAATCTGCTGGACCTGCTTCACCAAAAATTTAATTAGTTCATTTTGTCATTACAAATGAAATGTTTCGTGAATCATTCAAATCGGACGTAGAGTTATCTCAAATACTGAATAACCGTTTTTGTCACTGCACGTTTTGTCCCGTATCACGAAAGCGACTGGTCCTGCCTTTGCCAAAAACTAATCGACACTTCTCCTCATCAATGCGTGTTGAGTTATTCAAATTGGTTGATCCGTGTTCCCAAAATCGTAGACGAAAATTTGTGTTCGCACATACCTACACACAATTACATTTATACACACAGCACATACATTTATTTTTTTAAGGTATGCTAAAATGTTCAGAAATCATTGAAACGTAAAGATGTACAAAAATTTAAATTTTCGATTTTTTTTTTGCGATCACTGTAACTTACCCTACAGGAAGTTAATAATACTCTTTTGATTAACAATAAAGAAAATTGGGGCAATATATTTTATACAATCTTATTTTTATTAATGTAAGTCATGATACAACTTCTAAATATTTAATTGACATTTTCTATTATTAATCCTCGTTTGCATTTGTAATTTGTAACAAACAAACTGACTTTGCCATTTGTAATCGGCTATAATTTATTACCATTTATTTTATTAACCATAACTTCAGAGGTAAAGCATAAAAATATGCTTGCAAACTTTTTTAAATAATTATATTTCCTCGTTATAAAACTGACTCACTATAAACTTTATTTTAATAAAGAAATTTATAATTACTTGAGTTATAATTACTTTCTTAAAATAGATGAAAGTACATGCAGTTTATATGCTTAACGAAAGGATAGAGTTATAGTTTACCAACTATATTTATACTTACTATAGATATAGTTTACCAACTATATTTATACTTACTAGTAGAATTTTGATATGTTAGTCATTAATAATTTAGTGAAAAACAGATGACGCTTTTTTATTGCAGTGACGTTGTGCTCCGTAACTGTTGGAAATTTTTTCGAAATTATTTAATATTTCTATTAACTTCAAATGTTCATATGTTATATTTTTTTGTCCCAAATGGTAAAGGTTATAGACATTTTTGGATTATAAAATAATTTTATATCGCATTTCTTATATTAATTCAGAAGGCTTATATAAATTCAGAAGGAATTAGACATGATGTAAATTTATAAAATGTTGAATACATTCCTACTGTAACATTTGCGACTTGAGATTTCGTAATAAAATCGTTAAACTCAAATCATTAAAATCACGCGAACACAGTTACAATTTTCAAATAATTTTCTGAAAGCGTAATTTGTTTATGCAATAACATACGATTTGATATTTTTGTGTATTCTCTACCTTTGAAGTTATTTTGAATCACTTGGCACCAAAATATTTTTCTGGAAGTACAGATTGCCTTCACAAAATCCCTTTACATTTGGTGTTTGATGTATTATAACACATATATCATTTCGTAAAGATATCAATTTCAGTACAATTTTAGTATAAAAGTATGTGTGCATGTGGTCCAAATTTTGATCCTTCTCAAGAACGGCAGTACCGATTTCAAAAAGGTTATGTGATAAAGCTCGACAAGTTTTTGGTTAATTTTGCTCAAAGTCGTATTCTTATAACAGAATAGAAATAGAAAATAAGAGTGCCAAATAATTTTTCCGCGTTTTTTCAGAAAATCTTGAAATGATCCTGAAATGTTTTAAGTTTTAAGACCATTCAAAGGACATCAGTTGGTAATAGTGCTGCTCGGTCTTGGGTAAAGATCCGCCGCGTCGTTTTTTGTAATAAATTGTTGATTTTTTACAATTTTGATGAAACATTGTATGATGCTGAAATTTATAGTAATAACAAATATTGTAAAAAATTACATGCCAACAAAAAGTGGTTCGTCACTCAAATCGTTACGCTGTTTCTTTAAAATTAAGAACCCTATATTTCAGTACGTGCAAGATATTTTCTTGGCAATATTTAACTATTACCACAAATTTGACAACATTTCAACAAATGCTGGTACTTACAGATAAGCCTAGAGGTATCATCAATCGTATACTTTAGAACGCAAACAGTTCAGTGGCGCAGCGAACTTGACAGTCTGAAAGTTATGGAGCGCGTTCTATAGATTTGTCAAGAGCTTATCGAGAGATCAACCGGGTACTGTCTGAACTTTAAAGCTCGAGATATATTTTGAAATTGACCTTGATCCTAAATACTCGACTTTAATATCATGAAAACAAGACGATAATGCGTATCTGATATCAGTCTATTTGAAAAATGAGATTTTTTTATTCGTGCTTTGTAGTGTGCGAGATAAAAGCCTATTGATCTTTTTATTGCCTCCATTTCTTTCTATTACTGATGCACATATACTATTGTAGTTGTATATTGCATGCCTTTTTTTAATATTTAGGTTTGACTCATCTTTGGTATACAAATTGCAGTTCGTAGTCAATTGCTTGCAATTGCAATTTTTACTATTATTATTTTATTTATCAACTTCCCGTAGGCAAAGAGAGCCAAAAATGGTAATTTAGTATTCGAGAGAACGAAGCGTCGGATTTGAATGATTCAGAAAAACATCTTAATTGTATTGACAAAATGCAGAATTGATTAAATTTTTGGTTAGGCAGATCCAGTGGTTACTGCAGATCCAATAAAAAACTAAACTATTGGGGTACATGGCATTGTGCCTTAAGGCAAATTGCTGGAACTTCCCGTATCGTAATTAAACATTCGATAAATGTGTAATAAATATTTCATAATTGTTTTGAATAATTCCAAATAGATTATTTATTACATACTGTAAACTTATAAGTACTTTTTGAGATTGAGCGACGAGCGTATTTTATGAACAACTTATGTGTACGTTTACAACATTTCATTTTTTTTAAATTTGATTTTTTCAATAATTTAGAATTTTTTTGATAATTTAGAAATTTTTCAAAAATATTTTAAAATTTAGTTTTTTTTTGAAATTTGGAAAATTTGAAATTTTTGAAACTTTGAATTTTTAATTATAGCAAAGCATAAATGATTTTCTGCACTTCCTAAATTGGGCATTGGAAAATTCGGAAAACTGATTGCCGACCTGCCTTTCAAATTATATTTACTTATTATTACATTGCACAATAAATTGGAGTCTTCCCTTATTACAAAATTATTCATTTTGAATTGAAAAATTTAACAATTCGTATTTTTTCAAGTAATATCAAATATATAGTTTTTCATAAATTCATACATTCGGCAAGATGAATAAAACATATTAAGATTATTTTAAGAAAAAGTTTAATGAATATAAGGCACAATTTAAAATAAAATTATTCAACAATGTCCATTTAGTAAATCCAACCCGATAAATCACAATCCATATGAATATAATCTGTACGACTTCTGTATATTAACAAAAACTGAATTTATAAAAAGTTTCGAGTTAAAAATGTATCGTAAAACTCTAAATAAAACAAAATAAAGTTATACATTAGGATTTCTTAAATAAAATTTAAAAAATATGTATTGTGATTTTTTGAATGAGTTTTAGTTTGTATATTAAATCCATAACT